GGGATAGAAAGGGAAGGGAATTATGATGCGTGTTGCACAGCCAACTCCAAACTGAAGAAGTGAATAGTAATCTCTGAAAGCTCACGCTAAAAAAAAAAATGTGTTTTTTTTAGTGTTTTAAATGTGCCACAAGACTCATTTGTTGGTTCACTGGGGGAAATTAATAAACACTGCTGTACACTAGGGGTCTCACCAGCACAACTAAAACAAAATAGTAGATTGGCAGTAAGGTGTTTTGTAATCGTGATATTTCTAAAGTGATATTTGTATATGCCATGGGAGTGCACATCAAGCAGCTTGATTGGTGTTACTCAAGAGTGAAAAACAAGCAGGTGACACACATGAATTACCGTAGATTGTTGGTACAAGTGATAGTTATTTGAATGCAAACCAGGTTGCTATTTGTAGGGCTTGCACTGAATGATGCTGAAGCCTTCAACTGGATTATATCACAGGAGTGTTCCACATACATCTGACCTCTATATGTGAAACTGCCTTCCTTGCTTGCATTGTTTTACTTGAAACAAGCAAGTCTGTAAAACAGTTCCTAAGCAATTCATAGTCACAATGTGTACCTTGATTTCAGTAAGACAATCTAGGTCAGGGGTAGGCAACCTTTTTGAGCCGGGGGCCAGGTTGCTGTCCCTCAGACAATTGGGGGGCCGAAGCACCAAAAATAAATGAATAAATAAATATTTTTTAAAAATTAAAAAAATATTTTTAAAAAAAAAGCATGTACACTCAGCCCCAGAAAAGCCATGGCAAAACCCCTGTGGAGATTTTGCCAAGAAAACCCCAAGAACAAGTAATAACAACAATAATCAATATCATCATGGCAGACAGCGGCGGCGGTGGCAGCAGGACCGGCCTGGGGCTGGTCCAAAGACCTCAGGGGGCTGTATTCGGCCCCCAGGCCTTAGCTTGCCTACCCCTGATCTAGATAATCGCAGGATAGTGGTATTCTTGCTGAACTGAAGCACACACAAAAAATATTCCCCATATACACCATATTCTGTGTTGAAGATGTAATACACTTCTGTGTCTGACATGAGTAAGATTGATGCCCTAGTAGTGCTTCTTCAGCCAAACTTTCCACTTTGGCTGCTGATTCTATATATCTTTTCTGGGATGCGGTGAACTTATTTCATATTGGTACCTGGTAATCTATAGCACTGATGGTGAACTATTTAGGGGCCAAGTGCCGAAACTAAAAGGTGTCCTGGCACTGGATGTTACCCGGTGCTGGGCAGGTGGGACTTCCAGAGTGAGATGGGACTTCCAGGGCAGGACCTCTGTCCTTCAGGTGGGGGACTTCCACCTTCTGGGGGCAAGATGTCATGAAATAGACAGCAGCACCTTTAGACAACCAACCAGTCA